TTATTCTTAGAAAAAAGTTAGTCAATATTGTAAGGCTATCTATAAAAAAATTCCTGTAAAAAACTATTCCTTCAAATTGCAGGTAGTACAAGAAGCCCTCAATAAAGCTAGACTAACCGAGAAGGATCTTACTGCCGTTGCTGTCACGATAGGCCCTGGCTTAAGCCTGTGTTTGCGTGGTGATTAGTTATCCATTCTTTGCTTCTTCTCACTTTAGTGCTTTCTCACAAAAAGTTTTTTTCCCGCATGCCAGATTAAAAGGAAATGAAAAAAAGTGTATTATTCATTTTCTATTTAGATCAAAATGTGACTTGTAACAGTAGTATTTACTTATTATGTAGTATTATTTATTCTTTTGTATCTAGTTGGCATCCGAAAAGCTCGGCAAATTGCGGGTGCTCACAATTTACCGATTGTTGGTGTCCATCACATGGAAGCTCATACTTTGGTAGCCAGGTAAAAATTAGATTCCAAGTACAATATAGTCAAATTAATATCGCCTAGTTTATATGTACATAAATTTGCTTATTTCAAAATTAATGATATTACATTGATTGACTGGTTACTGGTTAGCTTCAACCTTATACCTTAAAAGCCTTATGAGGTTAATCCGTGTACACCTACCCTCCCCAGATTCCACAATGTGGGATTCATCCGGTTTTCGTGTTATTGTTTTTGTTGTTGTATACTCCGTATATGTTACGGAGTATAAAAGTCTTCAGTAGCACCCCGCACCCAAAAGTGAAAACCAATGCTTTAATTTGTCTAGGTTAGTGGAAAGAGAGATGCAATTTCCTTTCATGGCTTTGCTTGTCTCAGGTAACACTTCTCTACTTAAAGCATTGAACTATTGAACTGTACACCAATATTTTTTTCCCTTCAAAATTGTGCTAATCATGTAAATGAAATTGATGCAGGAGTGTGATAAGGGTGTTTTCCGGTGTTAACTGCTACTAATAAATACTTTTGGCCATTCTTATTGATTTTTGCTTATTTTCACCAAAATTTATATTGTTAAGTTGTGCGACTAATATTAGACAATAAAATGATGCTATTAGTTTCATGCCATCGACCCCAAGATTGGGATTAAGGTGATGATGATTGTTTCTTAGGAGGGCATAACCTTCTAATTCTTGCACGTGATCTTGGTGATTACATTCAACTTGGGTCCACAATTGATGATGCAATTGGTGAGGCGTATGACAAAACAGCGAAATGGCTTGGGCTTGATTTGAGGAAAAGTGGGGGCCCAGCTATAGAGAAACTAGCTCTAGAGGGTAATGCAGACTCTGTTAAATTTAATGTAAGTCACATAAATATACACATAGTCAGTTCTCTTCACCTGATTTGAATGGTTCTAATATGATTGGAATAAATTCTGATTTGATCTGGTTTGATATGAATGTAATTATATTTAAAACTATTTCCGATCTGATTTGATCTAATTCCAATAAGAAAAAGTAATAAGTAATAAGAATAAGTTGAAGAGAATGTGGTCTTAGTCACATAATTTGTATGTCACATAAATATACCCATAGCTTATTTTGATGTCTCTCGTTTGAATTTGTTTTGTTTTAAAGGTTCCGATGAAACAATACAAAAACTGCAACTTCTCATATGCTGGTCTGAAGACACAAGTGAGGCTGGCAATTGAAGCTAGAAAAATGTATTATGTTCATTTAGGGAAACCATCATTTTATTGACATTCATCTAGTGTGTGTGTGTAGTGTTCTGTTTTCAAAAAAAAAAAAATGCTTTCATAATGATTAACTTTTTGTTTATTTGAATTTGACTATTAGAACAATAATTTTCATTTTATTGGTTTGGAACACAATATTGAAAAATGGTTTCTTACACAAAATTCTTAATTAACTTTTGATTTGTAAATTTTGTATGTATATTGTGTGCAGTGATGCCAGAATACCCATCTCTTCCGCTTCTAGTGAGGATAGGCAAGCTCGGGCAGATATTGCTGCATCTTTTCAGGTTTTAAGTTCTGTAAGGCTATGCTTATAACTCAGAAAATAGTAGGAAGAAGGGAAAAGTGCCAAGGAAAATATTTTTTTTTAATGTTTGGTTTTATTTTTATAATACAAATGAAATTCAAATTTGAACAGAAAATTTCAAAATGTTTACAACTTGTAGTGTTTACATTTTAGGGAGTAGAATCTGGAAAGATATGCAAACAACACACAATTTAACTAAAATTTAGTATTGATTCATTGAGTTTGAAGCGTTTTTCTTTTAAAATTTTGTGCAAAAAGTTTTTTCCTTCCAAAGTTCTCTTCTGTTGTCTTTTCCTAACATTTTCCGGTTTCTAAGCAAACCGTAAATGTGTGGTTTCCCATCAAAAGCATTAAACTTCAAGACATGCAGAATTTACTTCAACTCTTTGGAGTTGGTCTCTCAGCCTTCTCCCTTTGTGCTTCTTGCAGCGAGTGGCAGTGCTACATTTGGAGGATAAGTGCAAGCGGGCAATTGAATGGGCCTTGAAGATTGAACCATCCGTAAACCATATGGTGGGGTTCTTTCTGCATCGATTCAATCCCACACCCTCTTCTTATATTAATGATTGCTTAATTAGCCTTCTTTAGGTTGTCTCTGGAGGTGTGGCATCAAATCAGTACGTTAGGGATCGGCTTAATCGGGTTATTAAGAAGAATGGACTTCAGCTTGTCTGTCCTCCTCCCACTCTATGTACTGACAATGGTGAGTAGTATGTTGTTTTTTGCTAAAAATAAGTCAAAGTGTGTTAGTACTATTTAAGTGTTAGATCATTACACAAGAGTCAGATATAAAATACAAGTTAATTATTACTATTATTATTATTATTAAACCATTCTTGGACTCCCCCTTCTCCCATCAAGTTAATCTTTTTAGGATGGAACTTCGAGTCTTAATATGATATAAATTCATTCTTTATCATAAGGGTTGTGAATAAGTAAAAATAATTAGAAGAAAAAAAATGAAAATGTGGTGGCATTCTGGTAAATAAGCCGAATTTCTTTTTCATCGCGGAAATGTACTATTGTATTACAAAAATGTGCACCATCCTCATTTCTCATGTTAAGATTCATTCTCCTGATACACTCCTCCGTAGGTGTGATGGTTGCTTGGACTGGGATTGAGCATTTCCGGGTGGGAAGATTTGATCCTCCGCCTCCCCCAGATGAACCTGAAGATGCTTTGGTTTGTCTTCTGCTTTGCCGTTCATCCTCTTCTCACATGTTTGAATTTGAAAACCTCAGAGATTCCGGCGGGGAATCCCCTTGTTTTTTTTTTTGAATATATAATCACACGACTTTATTAAGAAAAATAATAATGATTTTTATCATTGCATAATTTGAAACACAGTTTGATTTGCGACCAAGGTGGCCATTAGGAGAAGAGTATGCAGAGGGAAAAAGTGAAGCGCGCTCCCTGAAGACCGCCAGGGTTCACCCTTCCCTTACTTCTCTCATTCACGCGTCTTCATCTTCTACTACTATTGTCTAACCGCCGAGTTGATTATATGTCTCCCAAAAACACGCCGTGTTTCCTGATGAATGTTTGAATGCTTTCACTTTCAAACTGGACAATGTATATTGCAGATTTGTAAAGAGTTCTTTTTTTCTTCTTCTTGTGTAGTTTAGTCTTTTGTTTAAGAGGGAGAATAATGAAGTGGCACATATGGCTTGGCTCAATTCCCACTTTATACTTCATTTCAAAGAGAAAGTTGAGATGCTAAATTATATCTAAAGCTAGGGTTGTTGTAGACGTTTTAAACATGTTTACATTTTTGAATAATGGCGGGCTTCTAATGACAACAAGCACCGTTGAAGGTGCATATGGGATGCGTACAATATTTCATCGGGTCTGAAAGTGATTTTCACACATTCTATTTTTTTTTTTTGAAAAGAAGCACTTCTTTTCCTCATACTTTTTTTCCTCGTCCGTATTAAAAGAAATTCACACATTTTATTTTTTGAAAAAAGAAGTGTAATTCAAAATATGTTTGTTCTTCTTAAATAATTTAAGTGTCGACTTTTTAAAATTTGTGAGGTTAGAGTATGAAAATTATTTTGAGATTGGCAAAAAAACACTTCATAAAATTATACTTAACCAAAAAAAATTATTTCAAGCCATGCCACATTTTAAGTATCTTATTCCACAAAAAAAATTGCTTCTAAATAACACTGATTTCTAATAATAATTCACATGTCTCATTATATTGAATATATTTTGGGGTATGGACAATTTTTTTAATAAAAATTCTCAAATCTCACATTATCTGAAAATATATTTTGGAGTCTTCAAAATTAGTATTGTGCTTTAGATTAAAAAGTATTTTATTTCGACAAATTGTTAATCAAGCAATTATCATCAAAAGTATATTTTGCCCGAATTCAAACCATACGAAAACTCAACCGACCTGGATGCGCGAAAATGTAGAAAACTGAACAAAATGGAGGTTTAGGAGGGAATTGGGAACTGAGAAAGGGATTTTCTCACGGCGGAAATGGAGGTGTCGACCCTACCCATATCGGCGTCGCTAAGGGGGAAGTTGATTTCCGCCGGCCACTCTTCTCTCTCCTCCCTATTCTCCCTTTCTTCCTCGGACCTTGCTCGAGGTTCGTCTCTTCATTCCTCTGCAATTCGCCTATTTATTTCTTAATTTCTCATCCATTGCCTGCGTTTTTTTGTATTTTAGAGAGCGATAATCAACTTTTATTGCTGTTTTTCTGTTCCTAAAAGTTTTTGGAGTTGTTCTTATGAAACCTGCATATGTAAATAAGATTACAGTTCAGTATTACTTTGTTTTTTTTTTGTTTCAATTTGTTTATATGAAAAAACAAAATTAACATTGCATGATGGTCAGAAAAAGTCTAACTGAGGCCAAGTCTAACTGGTCAGATGTTACATGAGAGTATCTTAGGAGTGTAACCTATTTTGTTGTTATGCAGATTTAAACATTTCAGAGAATGAGGCACTTGCTGTTTTCGAAGCTGCATCTCAGAGAGCTGGACTAGGAAGAACTACTCGAAGTCATGATGTTGTCAGTGGTATAGAAATAATCTTAATCATTAGACAAAATAGAATTCTAGAAGTACTAAGGTTTTGTATGATGCAATGCAATGCAATGTAATACTCGGTAAAATATGTTTCGAACGCTTCTTTTTTATAGGGGTAAGATTTGCATACATCTTGGCTCCTAGACCCAAACGGAGTTGGGATTATACTGAGTTTGTTGTTGTTGCATTGCCTTGCATAATGTCTTACTTAACTATACCTAAGAACATTACACTTTAATAAACTATGTTACATAGTTCTGATATGTATGTGCATTCTTTAAATCCACAAGCTCAGTAAGAAGGAAGTTTTCATCAGAATTCAATATGGATTATGTTTCTTGATCAGTATTTATTTCTTTGTTAATTAAAGCTGCTGGACGTGATAATAGTCCTTGTTATTTATCGGTTCAATAATAAATACTCTTTTTTTCTCTCACTAGGAGCACGGAATGCCTGGGATATGCTTCGTGATGAGGAAGCTTGTGGCAGAATCACTACATGTTGTGCAGACCTAGATCATATATTGGGTGGGGGAATAAGCTGTCAAGAAGTTACAGAAATTGGTGAGTTTTGGATTATCTTGAAGGAAGGATGATGATTAACGGGTAGTTTTGTTTTTGGATGGCATTCCTCTGCAGCATATATGTTTTTTATAGGCTCCTAATCTATATTTGCCTTTTTTTATTCATTTTTTCTCCATTTGACCACATTAGGCGGAGTGCCAGGAATTGGTAAAACACAACTTGGGTGGGTACTCACTCTCTTAGTCTTTCATATTGTCCATGTGCCAGTATACAACTAGCTTTCTATCTTCTCATGGCTAAGATATGCAGGATACAACTTGCAGTAAATGTCCAGATACCAGCTGAATATGGTGGACTTCAAGGAAAGGCAATTTATATAGGTTGTAACATTTACTTCCTCCCACCCAAAATCAGACCCGTGTTTTCAAATTTGTTCTTATCTCAGAAATGAGTCCTATTTCAACACAAGGAGCTAAATTTCGTTGAATTTAATGTTATGTTTCCACACGCAAATCATTCCGCCCTAGTTAAGTGTGTTAGATTTATTTTTAGAAATGAATAGATTCTTAATTATTAGTATAAATTTAGGATTCATTGTTTACCAGAGTTGTACCTTAGACCTTACCCAAATTAAAAAGGTGTACCTTGGTGGATAGCACTTTTTTTTGGGACGGAGGGAGTAATTTCTTTGCAAATGTGAGCTAACATTATCATTTCAGATTTTCAACTGACAGTTGAATTTTTTATTGTAGACACAGAAGGTAGCTTTATGGTGGAGCGGGTTTTGCAAATTGCAGAAGCTTGTGTTGAGGATATGCAAGAGTATAGCGGTCTCTTACACAAGGATAGACAAGCCTGTCCAGTGAAAATGCAGCCAAAAGATTTCCTTAGTAATATATTCTGTTTCCGTGTCTGCAGCTACACTGAGCAAATTGCTGTCATAAATTACCTGGATAAGTTTGTCTCAGAACATAAAGATGTATGTAGAGTGATCCCGTTACCTTGCATTTCCTGTTTGTTATTTATTGAAGCTTTTATGAATTTGTCTCTATTTGTTATAGGTGAAGTTGGTGGTTATTGATAGCATAACTTTCCACTTTCGTCAAGATTTTGTTGATATGGCTCTGAGAACTCGGCTTCTTGGTGGGTTGGCCTTAAAGCTGATGAAGCTTGCAAAAAAGTGGAGTTTGGCTGTAAGTAGTATTCTCTTAGCTTCATACGGAGACTACATGAGTATCTTAGCCGACTTTTTTATGCCCACCAAACTAGGAATCCAATTGGTAAGGGTAAAATTTAGCTCAAAACAGCAGCTGGTTTGGAAAAACTATTTCTATATCAGCCTTTGTACCTTTCAGCCAAAATTAAACCAAATACTCGCTTTAGCATTTTGAAGGAGAAGAGCATGTTTGACCACTCAAAAAGCCTTGTTGTGGACTTGTGGTGCTTGGTAGATAACATGTTGGTGTTAAATGCCCTTCTTGAAAATGGTTACCCTACAACATATGGAAAAGCCTATTGTTGAGTATTTTGCCATTTTACACATTAAGCTATTTACTGTTAATAACACTATGCTGAGTTAGCAAACATCAAACATGTTAGTTGCTACTGCGGTCATTGAAAGAATGCCTTATTTACATGGGCTAAATTGGTTGATAATAAAAATAAAATTGCAGAAGGCACTGTTTTGCAATTCTTTTAAATAAATGGGAGTGAATATATGATAATTTTACTATATTATTCATAAATTATTTTCTTTCTTATTTAAAATAAAGGAAAAGATATGTTAACCATTTCATCTGATAGTTCAACGCTTTCAGCCACAACTTCTGCAACTTCAGTCATTTTATCCAAATTCATCCCTACAAAAACGAGCTCTAAATGGCTGAAGTTGCTGCAATTGTGGGTAAATTTGCTACTGTCAATCAATATATTTTCAAAGAAAATACTACCTGAAATTAAATGGGTAAAAAAACCTGAAAATAAAGGTAATGAAAAATTCGTCTTCTACCAGAGGGAGTGCAAAGTTAGCACAGAAGCATTTCGACTTTGTACTAGAACTACTCCATTTAGATTATATATGAATTATACACTTTTGCAGGTTGTTCTATTGAATCAAGTAACCACCAAGTGTTCTGAAGGTTCATATCGATTAACTCTTGCCTTGGGTAAGTGGCAGAAACAGCCAGAGTCTTTGATATCGATCATAGTTCCATTTCAATGTTATTAGGTTTATCGTTGTGACTAAAACATGCTTAATTTTAGGTGATAGCTGGTCGCATGCTTGTACCAACAGAATCATTCTTTTTTGGAACGGGAATGAAAGAAATGCACACATTGACAAGTCGCCCACTGTTCGATCAGCACGTGCATCATATGCCGTGACAGGAAGAGGCATCCGAAACTCGGGTTCCAGCTGCAAACGAGTTAAAATGATGTAAGTGCATATTTATCATCTTAATCTATAACAGCAAAAAAAACCCACTAAAATCCCACAATTTAGCGACACATATTGTCTTAGTTGTTAGACATGGTGTTCTTGTGTTGCTTGAAAAGTACACAAAACTATGGAGTAGCTGCCACATTGTTGGAATGTTTAATGCATCTATTTGTTCTTGTGGTTCTGAGTACTCCACTTCACAATTTATGGTCATTACCTGGAGTCCTCGACAATTATATTCATAATAATCTATATAGGGATGACAATCTCCTTCTTACTCCATGGATACCCGAACCACCCATCTGATTAAATGGATGAAAATCTGAAAGAATATGAATGATAGTTGGATGATGGATGGACTGGATGACATGCCAGGTCGGATACATTTTTTTAATGTTTAAGGATAAATCGTGCAATTTTTGAAGAGTTCTGGGATAAACGGTGCAATTTTAAATGCTCGGGGGTAAACCGTGCAATTTTTGAAGAGTTCGGGAGTAAATGGTGCATTTTTCTCAAAAAAAAGAAGGTTATATTGCTTTTTTGCATGTTACCCATATTTCATTATTATTACTACTTTGTAACTTATTTTTTAAAATAAAAAAAAACTTTGTAACCTGTTTTTTTTTTGAAGGAAAAAACTTTGTAACCTGTTTTTTGAAGGAAAAAAACTTTGTAACCTGTTATTATCATTACTATCAGTAATTTTTTGTGCAAATTTAGTATTTAGTATTTATATGGTTGATCTCTTCGAAAAATAATATGTACCATATGATCTTTTCTTTCTTAACAACAAGAAAAAGCAGAACAAAAGTTTCAACTATTAAAAAAAGAAAGAACAACATTATAAGAGAAAAAAATAGTCGGTATTTATTGACTATTGTGCTTTCATAAACTACACCACCTACTTTATGTGGTTAGGTGATCATATTACCCGGAAGAATATTATAAGGAGTAGGATGAATTAAGCTTTGACACTATTTATCATGTTTGATTAAAGTTATTTTTTATTTAATTTATTTAAAAAATAATATAAATTTTAAAATTAAAATTTATATAATTAAATAATACATCTAAAGTCTTACGTATAAAATAAGAAAAATAATACGCGTGTATAACATTATTTTATCAAATGAGTAATGAAAATATATAAAAAAAGTGATCTTGAATTATATGAGTTCTAACATATACAATATAATTATATAATACTCAAAATACTAGAAATAACTAATTAAAATTGTTCCATATACTATAATAACATTTTTATATTTTTATATTAAAATAGGATTTTGTGGCATATAATGTCAAAATATAATACCAAAAATTTTTATAAAATGTTACGAGTAACATATAATTATCAAATTGCAAACATTTCACACTACCAAGTACCAGCACTCTTATTTGGTGCATAAAAATATAGTAAGAAACTTTATTTTAACATAAATTGTACTCCCTAGCTCCGCCCCAAAATAAATTTGTCACTTTCTTTTGTGTCAATTAGAGGAATGAGATTGGTGATTCACTACAATTTTCTCCCGAATGATGAATCTTAGATTCTCGTTTTATTAATTTTATTTTCTTTGAACACGATAAAAAACTAAACGAAAATTTTAATTTGGGACAGAAAATATGTTTTAGTTATATTTTTTTAAATTAAAGTGTTTACTCTTCCGTCGAAAAAAATTATTCTCCAAAAATACGAATATACTCCCTCCGTCCCAAAATATTTGCAAAGTTTGCTTTTTCAGCAATTGCAGGAACTTTTGTTTATTTCTACGTTTTCATTGATTATTTGATAAAATAAAATATTTTTGACACCTTTTATTTTGAAGAACTTTTCATGTAGCTTTTTTATATGTAAATTTTATTTTTTATTTTTATACCAATATGTAAATAAAATGAATTGAAAAAAGGGAGAAAGACCAAAGTAGGACTAAAACATTGAAAATATACCAAAATAGAACTTCCATGTTTTTATTCCCAAAATAGGACTTACATTACCAAACATGGTCATATACATTACCAAAAAAGTATAGTAATTTGTAAATGTACACTGCCACATTGCCACAATGCAAAGTCACATTACCACAATGCAAAGTCTTATTTCGGAAAAAAAATATGAAAGTCCTATTTTGGTACTTTTCTCTATGTTTTAGTCCTATTTAGGATGATTTCTATTGAAAAAATTTGATATTTTGACTCAGAAATACAAGTGTGGCAAATATTTAAGGATGAAGGGAATACGTATATATCCGTATATATCCAAACGGCCCTTTCTCTCTCTCTCCAAATATCCGTATATATCCTCTCCTCATCGTTTTCCTGTGATCTCTCTCGTTTCGTTTCCCACCAACCAAACGATCCCTTAGCTTTCTCTGGAGCTCAACAATGGCTTCCACTTCTTCCATCACTCTCTCCCAAGCTATTCTCTCCCGCTCTCTCCCCCGCCATGGCGCTTCATCATCCTCCGCCCCTCATCTCCAATCCCCCTCTCTTTCGCTCCCCAATTTCAACGGCCTCAGAGCCTCCGCCTCTGCCCGCCGCCGCGCTGCACCCTCCGCCGCCGTCCGCCGCGGCCGCGCATTGGCCGTGCGGGCGTCTGCTTCCGTTGGGACCGTGGAGGAGGCCGAGACTGCCCTCGTTGACAAGTCCGTCAACACCATCAGATTCCTCGCCGTTGACGCGGTGGAGAAGGCCAATTCGGGTCACCCGGGTCTGCCCATGGGCTGCGCCCCCATGGCTCACGTATTGTACGATGAGTTCGTTAGATTTAACCCGAAGAATCCTTACTGGTTCAACCGCGACCGCTTCGTTCTCTCCGCCGGCCATGGATGTATGCTCCATTACGCCCTGCTTCACCTTGCTGGATACGACTCTGTCACAGTATGATTCCTCTCTCCTTTAATCTATACATCTCTATTCACTTGATCGGATCTCTATCTACTCTACCATTTCTCTGTTATTTGATCTGCTTAATTTTTTTTATGTGGGCAGTCAAAAATCGACGAAAGTTTTGATTTTTGAACATATATTTCATTGGACTTATCAATCAATGCGATCTCTTGTTTTTTCTTTTGCAATTGAATTTACTATAACTTGATTGGCAGTATAAACATGTGTGGCTTGATTGTTTGAATTGTTCCATTAGCTCTCTAGGTTGGAATTTTCTGTCCTCTTTCACCAGAATAGTAGTTTGATTTAAGCACAAAAAATGCTTGTTTGAAGTAGAATTGATTGGGATTTGATTTCAATTTTCGTTTTCGTTTTTGGAATGGTTTATATTAGGAAGAGGACTTGAAGAATTTTAGACAATGGGGAAGCAGGACCCCTGGTCACCCTGAGAACTTTGAAACCCCTGGTGTTGAAGTTACCACTGGTTAGATTTCTACTAGTGATGATATTTTTTTGCTTATATTAAACAGAGTATGATTGAGTGCTTTTTTTTCTCCCTTTGAGTATCACTTCTTTCATTTTAACAGGTCCTCTTGGCCAAGGTATTGCGAATGCTGTTGGTTTGGCCCTTGCTGAAAAACATTTGGCTGCTCGATTCAACAAACCAGATAGCGAAATTGTTGACCACTACACGTAGGAAATATTCCCAGACTGTTTTGTCATCATTTTTGTTTTTCTTTTTAAATTTCAATGGTTTGTTTGGAGCCTGCAAAATCAGAGGGAATGAAAACGGGGGAGGATGAAACTGTTGAAATTGGGAAGAAGAAAGAGTATATGCGTGTGTGTAATAAAAAGCCTAGTAAACCTAAATATCTGGAAAATCTCAAAGAGTTTTGATCAAATTTGAGTAGCCTAAGTGAATAATTATTGTGTGCCCTCACTTGTCTTCTTTGATTAATCACATTGATCTTGTACAGATACACAATCCTTGGTGATGGCTGCCAGATGGAGGGCATTTCAAACGAGGCTTGTTCCCTTGCTGGGCACTGGGGACTTGGAAAACTAATTGCTTTTTATGATGACAACCACATCTCCATTGATGGTGATACTGAAGTTGCTTTCACCGAGGATGTTTCTGCTCGGTTTGAGGCCCTGGGATGGCATGTCATCTGGGTAAAGAATGGTAACTCGGGATATGATGACATCCGGGCTGCCATCAAGGAAGCAAAGGCTGTTAAGGACAAGCCCACTTTGATCAAGGTTCATTCTTTTATGATCAAGATTCTATAGCAGTCCTCTTTCGGTTGTTCTTGTGTATATATATGCTTAACTTCCATGCATGTAGGTGACAACAACCATTGGGTTTGGCTCACCAAACAAGGCAAACACTTACAGTGTTCATGGAAGTGCACTGGGAGCTAAAGAAGTGGAAGCAACTAGAAAGAATCTTGGATGGCCCTTTGAGCCTTTCCATGTACCCGAGGATGTGAAGAGGTACTTCTCCTATGATCTCACATGGTTTACGTCTAGTATATGATCCCTCTATCCCATATCTTTCATCTGGCTTTCACTTGACACGTTTTTTCATGTAAGATTTACAAAAGTTTGACTCTATTTTTTGCCCTTGGTGTAAAAATATGAAGAGATATATGAAGAAGGTGAATAGTTCAAAAGCAAGGGTAAAATAGTCTTTTATTTATAAAAACTTGAATAGTCTTTCCATTTTAAGGAAGGGGGAAGAGAGATATAGGATAGTCATGAAGGGAAAATGAGAAGAAAAATATAAGACAGAAGGAATAAGTGCATGCTAAACCTTACATCCTTACACCTTGATGATCCTTTTGGGATGAGATAGGCCTAATTTATTGGGTTTGAGGCTAACATTTTTTTTATCGTGGCATTGTGAAGTCATTGGAGCCGCCATATCCCAGAGGGCGCAGCACTTGAAGCTGAATGGAACGCCAAGTTTAGCGAATATGAGGAGAAATATCCAGAAGAAGCTGCCGATTTGAAGGCCATCATCACTGGCGAACTTCCTTCTGGTTGGGAGAAAGCACTTCCGGTGAGTCCCTCTTTTTTGGGATAACTTATGAATTAATGTGATAAAACTGTTTTTTTAATCTTCTTTTAAGTACTTATAGATATTTCTTAGAAAGCACCATTTTTTTTGGGTTTTCTTGACTAAGTAGTAGAACTGTAGAAGTGTTTTCTTCCCCCTCTAAATATCATTTGTTCTTTCAACATTTTTTTCCAGACATACACTCCTGAGAGCCCGGCAGATTCCACGAGAAACCTGTCCCAGCAAAATCTCAATGCCCTTGCTAAGGTTCTTCCCGGTTTCCTAGGAGGCAGTGCCGACCTCGCTTCCTCTAACATGACCCTTCTGAAAAGCTTTGGTGACTTCCAGAAGGACACTCCGGGGGAACGCAACCTCAGATTCGGGGTCCGCGAACACGGAATGGGAGCAATCTGCAATGGGATTGCCCTACACTCCCCAGGGCTGATCCCTTATTGTGCCACCTTCTTTGTGTTCACTGACTACATGAGACCTGCCATAAGGATCGCGGCCCTATCCGGGGCCAGGGTCATTTACGTCATGACACACGACTCGATTGGTCTTGGAGAAGATGGGCCCACGCATCAGCCGATCGAGCACTTGGCCAGCTTCCGAGCCATGCCTAACATCTTGATGTTCCGTCCTGCAGACGGCAACGAGACAGCTGGTGCATACCGATTGGCTGTCCTCAACAGTAAACGGCCGTCGATCCTCGCCCTCTCTCGCCAAAAGCTGCCCCAGCTGCCTGGAACTTCATTCGAAGGGGTAGCTAAGGGAGGGTACGTCGTTTCGGACAACTCTTCTTCTATGGGGAGAGAGAAGCCCGACGTGATCCTGATTGGCACGGGGTCGGAGCTGGAAATCGCCACCAAGGCGGCGGAAGAGCTGAGGAAGGAAGGGAAGGGCGTAAGGGTCGTTTCGCTCGTGTGTTGGGAGCTTTTCGACGAGCAACCAGACGAGTACAAGGAGAGCGTCCTTCCGTCTGATGTGGCGGCCAAGGTGAGTATCGAGGCGGGGTCGACTTTCGGGTGGGAGAAGATTGTGGGGCCCGCAGGAAAGGCCATTGGTATCGACAAATTCGGCGCCAGCGCCCCCGCCGGGAAAATATACAAGGAGTACGGGTTGACGGTGGAGGCCGTGGTGGCTGCCGCTAAAGAAGCTTCTTAAGGTGGTGGTGGTGGTGGTGGTGATATATATTATTATTTGTCTATTTTTTGTTCACAATAAAAGATTTATTTATTCTGATTTTATGTTATTCTTCTGTCTCCTTTCGTGTTTTTCAGCTGAGCAGCTAAAAAAAAGTGAAGGCATAATATGTTGGGAAATTTTTAATCCACTTTGATTTGTGAGTTGAATGGAATGGATTTATTTTGTGCAAAAAATTTAACATATGTCAAAGTATTGAAATTTCTATATGGTTTCTTGGTTGTTGTGATGCATCTATTCACTTCTTCTATGTGCACTTCCGCTTATTATACTCTCCTTGAAGAGAAAAAAAAAAGATTTAGGAATTTGATATTTTGAATTCATGGATATTAAGAAAAGTGTGTTAAAAGAATGGGGGAAAAAATGAAAAAGTGTGTGAAATATATTTGAAAGAGGATGAGTATGTTCAAGTGTAAAGTTAAATTTTAAATTTGAGTTTTTCTCTAGCAGTTACTTAATTTGAAAGCATTATTTTGATGATTTATTCATAGTTTAGATGATAAAAAATATAAAAATGCATATATTTAACTATAATTTAAAAAACATTTTTTACATGGGACTATTTAAGAAATACATATCAATTACAAATGACCGTGTTGCTAATTATTATTTATTGATGACTAATTTAGAAAAATACATTATTAAAAAAGATCGTTTTGAAAATTAACTCACTGATTTGTGATGAAGTAGAAGTAAAAGTATCACTCTGTGTTCTATATTTAAAAAATATTCTATAATAATACTAATTATTATTATTATTGTACATTACCGGTAAATAAATCAAATTCTCCATATTTAAAACAATTTTCTTCAAATAAGCCCTTAATCGCATTTATTATGTTTGGTGGGTCGGTGGTTTCACTTCGGGTGTGGTAGTTGAATCTCTCCTTCTCTAAACCCAACCTATTTTCCAATTTTTACCACTTTTTTGTTTACATTTAATTTAAAGATATATTCTACTCTAATTCTCCCTCCGTCTCAGAGTATTTGTCCAGTTTGACTTTCTAGTTTGACGTTTTCGAGTCAAATTAGACAAACTTTGAGTTTCAATTAAATAAAAACCGTAAAATATTTTAATATAAAAATGACTTTATTAGATTTATCGTATTGAGAACTTTTAAAATTGTATTTCATTATGCTAATATGTAATACATGTTGGGGGAGAAGCAACAAGTAGAATACGACACCTACAAGGACCAATTTCAAGACAGTCAACCAAACACTCTTGACCCAAATTACCACAATTGATTCACCAAGCACACAAAATCAGCAGCACATCAAATATGAAGGATAAAGATGCAAACGACACGCGATTTTTATACGTGGAAAGCCCCTTCGATGTGAAGGATAAAAACCACGGGACTTATAGGGAGTCCGCCCTCTTCTTCTCTTATTATGCAAATTGAGGGTAAAAACACACAAACTCAGTCTACAAGGATGTCACAGCCCACCAAGAACAACATACACAAGAGGCAACACAAGAGAAGAAAAATTAGGATTATCACCCAAAAACGCAGCGATGCACCAGCTGCGATTACAGACAAACCAGAGCTCCGATTGAAAATCTGAACAGTCAGATTGTAGCACTTTGTGTCCCGAACAAGCTATTAAAATTTTAGCAAAATCCAATGGTTGGATCTCCGGCGATCGTCCATTTCGTCGGACTGCTCTGAAAAATTCTGCAGAGCAAACTTTCCCATCTCTATTCTGAGTTTTTCTCTTTTGCTCTCTCTCGAGTAAATTCCATAATTAGTTCTTTATAACAGGGAGTTTCACTATTTAGTCTTCTATTATCAAATATTACCCCAATGGTCCTTTTATAGGTATCTTTCTACAAATAGTCCTTTTTTTTTCTATTATGTTGGTGTTAATTTGAAGGCTAAAAGTGTAATTTCACAATGATAACATATCTGTTTTGTCATATACAATTCCAAAGGCTGTCCCGTTTCCATCATTTGTGAATTATAGTCGATTTCTACTACAACCACAGTCTACAAATGTGGTCTTTCGTCAGAATCCTAGCCCACAATCATAGTCATTATTTTTGTGTTTTTCGCTTAACCAATATCAGAACACGTCACTAGACATAATGTTGATGGCAAATTATATTTTTAGCTTTTAAATTAAAACTAACATGGTAGAAGATCAAAAAAAGAACCATTTGTGAAAAGGCACTTTTAAAAAAAACTACGGAGGTAATATTTGATAATAGAGAATTAAATATAAAAAATCCTCTGTTATAAAGGACCAATTAAGCTCTCTATTTCTTCCGTAAGAACTGCCACTGCCCAGCCCTTTTTCTCTCCTTTTTGCAAGTCAACAAAGGAAAGTATCATTGGGCCCTCCACCAAAGAAAAAAATGGAATGCAAAAGTGGGCTGGAGGGGGAGATTGTTGGGCCATACGCATCATTAGCCTTAACCACCCCGTAGGGCCCTTTCTATTCTGTTATTAATTGTCCGATAGTTTGTTGGCCCAACTAATTTCTTAATGGATCAATTGGACTACTGGACTTATTTTTTTTCTATTCTATTTTACCATGGAGTATTAGTCAAGATCCTCTTCTTTGGTGTGGGCTGAATTTATTTCCAATGATTTGTTATGGACTGAAACCATTGCAAGGTATGGGACTTGTCACACATCGGTTGTGTGTGCAATTGATGTGGGGTTTATAGGCCAAATGGATTTCCTCACCTATCAGACTAGTCTTTTGGGTTGAGTTCTTCCGTTTGGTCTGTAACATGATCTAAGTATCTAATGATCAGTCCATAATGATTTAATTAAAAATGATTTGTGGTAATAACTTTCAATAGTATTTTTGATTTTAAGTTAAACCATTTCGAGAAAAATATACAATTGGTACTATAAGAATAATGTAAGATTGGTTAGAGAAGATAGAGAGAGAAGACGGTGAATTTATTTTAATTTTTTTTTTATGATAAGGTGAAAGTTGGTCAAAGTTAAAACAAATTTTTAATTAGTTGAATGAAGAAAAAAAGAAGAGGAAATGGGGGCATATAACATGGTTATGTTTTGATTCTCTCACATGTTACGGGGGTAGAAATCTGATTTACAAAGTTAATTAATTTAACATGTGTCAATTGATTTTCGTTCATATTTTTTTTGAAAAAAAATCTCATTTTAAAGATTCTTGAGAAGCTAATACGAAATGTCAATGAGTTTGTTAGAGATGATTTTTTGGATTGGGTCTAAACTTTGTTTTCAAATGAATAAATTTTTTTATACTTTATTGGTTGAACAAAATATTTTCTATTTGAAAAAAGACAGACTTAAAATATACGGAGTATAAATATTAATAGGAATGGATAATTGGATACAACGCGTAGGATGGCAGATCAAAAAGAAAATAGCATTAAAATTATTAAATTTTTAAAACCTTCCTTTTTCAAATAAGAAATGTTTGTATTACGGATGAATGGATGATGTACAATTTGTTGTCTTTTTTGATTGAATATAGAAAATAAACAACTAAAAATCCCTTTGTCTCATATTGTTTGCGCATTATGCAAAACGAAATATTCCCTCTGTCTCATTTCAAATTGCATGTTTGCATGTTTTATCAATCTCAAAATAAGTTGCATGTTACTTGTTATCATAAACTTTTAAGAGTAAAATACCTAAATTACCTCTAAAATAAGCGACTTTTCTTCACATTATCTTCTCATTCATCGTCACTCCTTCTAAAAAGTAATATCAATTTCAGAAAATCAATTCTATTTTTTCTCTTCCTTAAATATGTTTAAAAGTCAAAACAGACGATTTTAAAACGGAACGGAGGGAGTAATATTTAAATTTTTTTCAATTTGTTTTATTTAAAGATTGGTATAAAAATTAAAATTTACACATTTAAAAATTAAGTCAAAACTTATTCAAAACTCGACGCCACAAGAATATTTTATTTTATTAAAAATTGATGAAAACGTAAAAAATTTCATGTATTTTTTGAATAGTAGAATGTGACATTCTTTTTTATACGGAAAAAGTATCAAATAGACTTCTAAATTATAATTAAGGAAATATTTTCTCAAACTCAAATAAATAAACAAACAAAAAATTATTTTATAAAAAAGTTTTACGTTCAAAGCATGGGCCTTTTTCCCAAATTAAATTTCCCCTTTTTCTAGGGTTTTTCCAAAATAAAATTTTCATTTATTTAAAGAAATGAAATAAGTGTTGTTAGCCGATGTGCCCCCAAATTTTCATTTTGAGAATTTAGTCATTTTAGGTAATTAAAATTTATTGATAACTAATTTAAAAAAACACCTTATAAAAGAAAATTATTTCGCGAATTTAGTCATTTTAATTAAACAATACCCTCGTATGTAAATTTTAACAATGCTATTTTTTTGGACGTTTGTGGTGCATGTCTTATGGGTATGGGGTACCCTAGCATTGCGAATTAGAGTAAGAAATAGCCCAATTTCAACTACCCTCCCCCAATTTCGATTTCCCCTTATCTCCTCTGAGAAGCCGCAAGGAATCCCGCGAATAAAGGCACCGAAAGCTCTGCAATTTCAACTTCTCTTTCACAGTCCTATCCTCGCTGCACTCCTATCCTCGTTGCAGGTCTTATACGGAAACCCCGTGATCGAATGACAATAAAGATTGCACCTTTTCCCCCCCAACCCTAACCCTAGCCATCGTCTTCCACAAGAAAATCTTGGCCAGAAATTTCCCGGTTCTCCTCGGCGCAGGAGAAATCCGCAGTGGGTATCGCTTGAATCTCCCAAGATTTACGAAGGGTGCTGTCCCAAATGAAGCACATTGACGATGTGTCGTCGTCCTCCCCTGGGAAGTTGAAGGAGAAGTCTCATTACAGCAGGGTTAGACTCCATTCTTCCATTGCCAAGCTCACTTTTTGGTCCTTTGTGTTCTTGGCTCTGATCTATGTCTTCTTCAGAGACCCTTCTTCTACTGCTACTTCTGCCCCTGCAAAATCCGATCTTTACAGGAGGTCTCTCAGAACCAGCTTCAATGGTGGCCCAGCTTGGGAGAGGAGAGTTAGAGCCTCTGCAAAGGCCAGTTCAAGAAGCGGCATTACGGTTCTGGTCACAGGTGCTGCCGGATTTGTTGGGACCCATGTCTCTGTTGCCCTCAAACGACGTGGCGATGGCGTTTTGGGGATTGACAGTTTCAATGACTATTACGAGCAATCCTTGAAAAGGGCCCGTCAGGATCTTCTAGACCGCTCCGGTGTTTACATAGTGGAGGGAGACATCAATGACTACAAGCTCTTGAAGAAGCTTTTCGGAATTGTTCGGTTCACCCATGTGATGCATTTGGCCGCGCAAGCAGGTGTGCGATACGCCATGAAGAACCCTGGCTCGTACGTCCATAGCAACATAGCAGGCTTTGTCAGCCTTCTTGAGGCTTGCAAGAATGCCAATCCTCAACCTTCTGTGGTGTGGGCATCTTCAAGTTCTGTCTATGGGTTGAACAAAAAGGTTCCTTTTTCGGAGAGGGATAGGACAGATCAGCCTGCAAGTCTCTATGCTGCCACTAAGAAGGCTGGGGAGGAAATTGCCCACACTTATAACCATATCTTCGGGCTTTCTTTAACTGGATTGAGGTTTTTCACTGTTTACGGACCTTGGGGAAGACCAGACATGGCCTACTACTTCTTCACAAGGGACATTCTGAAAGGAAAAAGAATTCTTGTATTCGAAGGGCCTAATCACTCGACTGTCGCTAGAGATTTCACCTACATCGATGACATAGTCAAGGGCTGTTTGGCTGCATTGGATACTTCTGAGAAGAGTACCGGTAGTGGTGGTAAGAAAACCGGTCCAGCACAGCTGCGGGTGTTCAATCTTGGAAATACCTCTCCTGTTCCGGTGTCTGAGCTTGTGAGGATCTTGGAGAGATTGCTGAAGGTGAAGGCGAATAAGATAATGATGAAGATGCCGAGAAACGGAGATGTTCTTTACACCCATGCTAATATCAGTTCTGCAGAGAGGGAGCTTGGGTATAAGCCCTCAACTGATCTCCAAACAGGGCTGAAGAAATTTGTGAGATGGTACCTTAGTTACTATGGCAATGGCAAAAGGAGTTCCCACTGATAAGTTATTCTTTGGACTGTGGTAAGGCCTTGTAATTTTTCTTGGTTGGTTTATTCTTATTAGTATACCATGATTTTTAACCCACGCTCTTCGTCCCCCTACGTTATGATGGCTTTATTTTATTAATTAGTGATATATGCCATAAATTAGAGCAGATACAATTTTATGTATCTAATGGAAGGTTTCAAGTCATAACTGTCATTTTGTCTCTGTAGATTTCTTGACTTGAAGGGTAATGTTTTTACATAAGTGCACATTGGTAGTTCAACTTCCTTTCAATATTTGTTGCTTGATGGGAGTGAGTCTTAGAATCGGTGTTAACAGAACCGTGAGGTTGTATTTACAGAAGCTATAAATGATTGTTTTAATGAGTTGCTGCAGGTCATAGATGGAATCTGGAATTGTATGTGCTGAATGAATGAGTATAGCTTTAATGAAAGATGAGTTCACTTCATGCAACTTTCGTTCTGATTCCATGAAATCATTCAAATTTTTTGGTAAATTGCAGAAGAAAAAACTGTTTATTCCATTGTCGAAGAACGGTTTATGTCAATAGTATTTAGTGCATTGATTTCCCAGTTTCCCTATAATTAGGCCTAGTCCAATTATACTCATTACATTCACCCAACCCAAACACGCACACACACGCCACTCATAATGTCCAAACAAGTCAAGATCCGTTTTGCAGTTCAATCAACACGGACAAGTCGTTTGGAGAGTTCACAAAGGTCACTTTGGAT